ACATACACCTTTACTATATACCTTTGTGGTTGAAATGTGTATTATTTTTTCTTTATTCACCTAGTGTATTTTGAGCATTTTCTCTTATCATTAAAAATTCTTAAATATATCATTTTCAAAAGTCTCAAAATAATAACAATTTTTTCAGTCATTAACAACCATGGTGCACAAATCTTTATTTCTATTAAATATTTTTCCATTTATTTCCAATTTTGCAGATAGATTGATCAAAACACATGAACTTTTCAAAAGAAATAGTGAATATACTCAAATGAAGGAAGCTTAAATAGCATGGAACTAAAAATACTAGAAATCTATGTGCAATAAAAATTGAATATAGATTAGCCAGTTTCATAGATATTTCCAGTTAAGCATCATACAAGTCTTATGTATGACATAATATCATGATTCTGGCCAAAAAAATAAAAATAGAGATACTAAAAATATTCTCAAGTTTAAAAAATTGTGTGGCATTAAGTTTCAATAACAACATTCTATGTGAATATAAATTCCTGATTTAATTTTGTCATTTTCTCATGCCAGAAGCATGGTTGATTTTAATTTTTTTAGGCAGATATTGGTATCATAACATGTTGGCTTATTAATAATTAAGGCATTTTGCACACATCATCTCAAGGTGGACAAAAAATTTTCACATTATTTGCTATGACGTTTTAAACTTTCAAAGCCTTTTCAACATAAGAAAATAGCGGCACACATCTAAGTTATTTTCTTATAAAATATCAACTTAATGTTAATTTTGTTCTTAAAACACAAAAGAAATTGATAATTAGTCTTTGTGGTTCCTAGTGATAAGTCCTATCTTACTTTTTTCACATAGTATCAACTATATTCTTATGCAATATGCGGGGCTGCATGAAAACCCAGGAGTTCTTAAAAAGCATTGTTACCAAAAAAACATATAAATCCCAAACGCAGCAAAGGCAATAATCTTCATAATGCACTTCCACCTCATGGATGTTGAAGCTACTCCTTTCCCCTTCAATGTGGAAAAGATTATTAGGGTTTCATTAGTGATTTCATTATGTGGCTTTTAAAAGATTAAAAATGTTTTTAACTTCTTCCACAGTTGACAATTCTCAGATGAGACATTTTTCTGGAAATCATATAATCCACAGATGTTTTGAATAACAAACACTGTTTTGTAGATGAGCTCCACAAAGCTGTCCAGTGGGCATCCACATCCTCAGCTATATTCGTAACATGTCCTGGATCCGAGTAAGGTGGTTTTCCTGTTCCCACAATCCACTTCATTCTTGTTTTAAAATCTGAATATTTCTGCCATTTATCATTTCTGCTTTGGATGATAGTTCTGACCACCACCTTTATGATTTTTGAAGCCAGTTTAAACCACATACTACATTCTTCAAATTTGTTTCTAAACAGTGACTTTACTAGCGACAACAAGTCTCCCCAGCAGCCAAGTGAGATGTATTGTTTTTCTTCCTGTAAATTCTTGGCGCGCACCGGACAGCTCCTATCACCACCATGTAAGCTGCAAATTCACCTGTATTCCTCATTCTCCAGAAAGTTAGAGCTACGCATCAATCTTAAATTCCTGCTGAAAAAAACTTGTGCTGTTGTTTCGCGGTCCTGAGAAACCTCAGGGAAAAGCCCATTATGTTTTGTTGATGGGCTTTCTGTCTCCGAAAATTCACTGGAGTTACCCAAAGCTGTCTGACTCTCGTGGGGGCAATTGTTTAGGTAGATGGCGGGCACAAGCCGGCTAGTTTATTTGCCACCTCCCAGCCCCTACTCCTCAGGGACTGTTTTCTGTAACAAGGATTTTGGGAAGAACGAAATTTCTTTCTGCCGTACATCAATTTACACAGTGAAGCTGGGCATTTCGCAGTTTCTCAACTGTTCTCTTTAGGTAGGTGGCCCACCCTTTGGGAGATCTCTTAACCTCCTTCCTGTTCTTATTCGTGAGATCAGAGGTTGTTTCTTCCTAGGAACATCAATGCTGTGATCCTCAGTATTATTACAAAAGTTCTGTTTTTCAGGATTGTGGATTCAGATGCCATAATCTCTTAAATACCAGCCTCAGCCCAGTCCCAGAGCTGACGAAAGGGAAGGGAGCAACCCCCTGCTGCCCGCTGCACTCCCCACCTGCGTGCGCTGCAGGAGTAGCGCCCCTTGGTGGGGCCCGACTGGTCCTGGTCCGGTCCCGCCTCTCTCAGGCCACAGGGACTAGAGGAAGGGGGATGAGCTAAAGCATAGGAATTGTAAAGGCAATATTGCCAGTTTCCTGTCCAGAAGATTTGCACCAACTTACCTTTTATCAGCAAGGGCTTAAAGGAAAGATTTGGGAACCTTTCTAACTTCCCTATCATGCTTTTTTATTATTTGTTTTATAGTGATTAATACAAAACCCATAAAAAGACAAGGAGGTGAAGAATATCAGAGAACTACAAAAGGGACATTGAGAACTCGCAGAAAGGAACAGACAAGAGTTGGAGAGCCGACTTCTGTGGCCGGCACCCTGGAGGCAAAAGTGGGTCTTCAGACTGACTTGCCTCCAGGGAGAGGGAGAGGCTTCCACAAACTTCTTCTGAGAGTCCCTAGAATTAGACAGAAAAAGAAAAAGAAAAACCCAGCTCTGCTGCAAGGGTCTGTCAACATCCTCGTAAGTAGGTATCTGAAATGCTGGCGTATTTACCCTGCTTAATCACCGCCCCACCCTTCTGAGGAAAAAAAGCCAATTTCAGCCATCTGAGGAGAGAGAAGTCGCAATGACCTTTCTGCAAGACTGATGATAACTCACTCCTTATAAGGAGCGGACAAACAAAAAAAGCCCCGGGCTCACTGCTTAGGAATGTGTGCCTCTGCGTGCATCCTTCTCACATTACCTGTTGATGGGCTCCGCACCTGAGCCCAGCATTTCCGGGAGGGCAGAATGGGGGGCCTCCCTTCCCACCAAGCCTAGAGTGTTAACTGATGGAGATAATCCTAACCGTAAAGTTTCTGAATCAGCACTGCAGCTGATTTAATAGGACTAATGAGCTGTTTCAGAAACAAGTTTTTCTATTATTCAAGAAACAAACTTCCTAACAGCCCTTACATAAACTCCTGCCTCAGGATGGGCTATTACATAATCCCTAGTGAAAAGAAGAGTCCACATCCAGAGAGATCAAAGCCCAACGTCCCTGCAGGAGCTGACTTAGTAATAAACCATCAGTAATTTTAGCTATCCTTTAATTATGATGCCTCTTCTAGGTCACTTACGATCTGTTTATTTCTATAATAACCCAGTAATTATGCCCATTTTACAAGTAATAGATATTGAAGTTCAAGGAGAGGTTAGGTCACTTGCCGGTTCACATGGCTCATAAGTGGAGACCCTGATATTTGAACCCAAGTCTTTCTGACTCCAAAACTGGCAGAGTTCCTTTCAGTGGAAGCCGTAACACCTGCATGACTTTACTAACACCCACCGAAGACCACGGTCCCTTCTGGCTTGTGCAGGGTGAGGAATAAGTTTGGCTACTCCAACTTGTCCTGTTCCTCGTGAGGACTTCCCAGACCTTCAAGGAATAAATGAATGTTGAGTTTCCTCCGAAAGTGTTTTTCCATCCAATCTTGTGTTGCTCGGGAAAACATGGAACCAGAAAGTCAAATCCCAGAGTGCTCTCTCTGTTCAACCCTGGAGGAACAGTTCAACACCCAGACAGCAAGGTGGCCCAAGGTCCTTTGGTGAAATGCTCTGTAGCTGATCTGCCCTCTCTCAGCTTCTGGCTGCCCCCACCGCCCAACCAGCCTGTGTGCTGCTGGCTCCTGGAGCTAGCCAGCTGGGCCAAACCCATCCCCATATTCATTCCTCGTGGCTGCCCAAGACATTCTTACTCCCAGGCCCCCATTATTCATCCAAACAAATATTTTTATACCCATTATATATGCCAGGCACAGTCCTAAGGTCTTGGGAGATAAAAAGAGATGATCCCTGCCCTCTGGGAGCTGGCAACCAGCTAATTAATTGCTTGACTACAATTGTATTAGTCCCGCAGAGATTGCTAAATTGCTAAATTGTTAAGGGAGTACATGACTGGGCTGGGGATGGGGACTGGGACTGAGGGGTAGGGAAACGCCTCCTCCAAGAAGAGGACAAGATGGGTGGCGCATAGAAAGAGGGGTTGGCAATACAGCATGAGGCCAGAGAAGTGAGCAAGCTCTGAGCCTGAGGGCCCTTTACAGATCTGGATTTACCTTTGGAATGATGAGACTCCTTTGCAGGGTTGAGGTGATGGATTATATGTGCGTATAAATCAGGGAAGAAAGGAATGATGCATATGCCAACAAATTCTAAATTGTGCTGGAAACTGATGGTTTTGACTCTTGGTCCCTCTGAAACAGTAACTTTGCAGTAATTTAAAGGCTGTCACTTAAAGGGGTTGTTGTAAATGTTTGTTCTTGATAATGATGATTTAAGCTCAGGCAGTGTTCTTCAAGTGGAAGTATTCACCGACCCCTGCCAGCAGTCTGAATCTGGAATGGTCTTCTGGAGCAGCCATACTCAGAGGTAGGTCCCTCAGGGCTCATTCAGAGAGGTGGATGAGAGGACCGGGCACTGGGGGGCGAGAGGCCAGGCGAAGAGTGGAGTGGTGCTGGGCCCCCTGGCACTGATGTGGGCTGCTCTCCAGGGCCCTGGGAAAGCACTGAGAGACCTCCCGATGGCGTTCTCAGAGCCTGCCCTGACATGTCACCAAGTAAGATTGAGACCTTTGGTCCATGTGTACAGTGAAGGCCCTGCCCTAGAAGGTCCACCAAAGTCTCTTTTTCTGCTACCATCCTGGGACCTAATCACCTAAAAGGAGACATGCCATTCCCAAAGAACTCCTTTGGAGGAAGGTCGTATCATGTCAACTTTGAGAGCTAGCCAGGCCCTAGTGAGGAAATGGAAAGGAAAAGGTGGGTATCAACAAGGACTTTTAAAAATTTTTTATCCTCTTCCCTTCAACAAGGACTTTTCAATCAGCCAAATGGTGAGAAGGGAGCAAGGCATATAACACCTATGACTCCAGCATGATTTCACGGAGAAGCAGTTTTGAAAGCTTGCCTTGTCCAGAGGTGAGGAAGATTTAAACACACACACATGCATGCAAATAACATACACACTACAAACATTTCTAGTTACAGGAATGTTAATGTTTTTTTCAGTGTTCTTAAAATGATATTGAAAGTCACATTTGTTTAACTTATAGGAATGTATATCCAAATCTCAATTAAATATGATTAAAAAAAACTCCCTCTAACTATGACTAAATTGGACCAAAACACAGTGAAACCTGCAGCATTAGCAAACTAGTGGTAAGGCCTGTTCTGCCACAACCCTTCTGCTATTTCATACATTACTCTGCATAATGTAGTAATACCATACCTTACCAAAAATCCAAACATTTTCTATTAGCTTGTCCCCTCCCAGAAAGTGGTGTGAGTCCCTTCCTGGCAAGCACTCCTGGCATGAGGCATGGGCAGTGTGCAGTGCTGCTATAAAGCATGGAAAAGAATGTGAAAAAAAGAGATAATGTCTGAAATAAAAAAAAATTGGTTTGGATTTCTAAACCAAATGATCAAATGTGGCTAGTTCTACTTCCCATCCCAGCTATGATGAATTGATAACAAATTCACAAAAGGCCAAATCGACGTCTGAGGCCTTGGCCTACGCAGCAGCCAGATCCAAGAATAACATGGGTCTAGAGAGCCTCCAGCTCTGTGGTTTACCAGCCGTGGCTCTGTGCGGTCTTCGCCGGGCGATGGGGATTGTTCCCAACAGAGTAGGAGGAAATGTTTGCTTGCACTCCAGCTTGGAATCGTGGCTTGTGCCCTGGCTGGGATGTCAGGCAGCTGTTCTAGAACAAGCCAGCTCTGCTGGCTCTGAGCTGTGTGCTTTGGCCTAGTCTCCTAAACCACTGGAGCTTCCATTTCTTTATCTTTACAATGATAGCAACAACTCAACAACTTTGACTGAGGACAGACTATACGTAACGCTGAACTGTCTCTGGGTTAGGATATAGCCATCACCTCAATCAGAGCGAAGTAGGACACAAGACATTGAGTAAGTACCATGTGTGAGGTGAGTCCAAATATCGGAGCATCCTTGTTTACCCAGTGAGCATTTAAGGAAATATTTTGTTGTCATGAATATAAAGATGTGTCAGGATGTAAATCAATTAAACAAATGCCTGCATATAAGGGTTAATGTATTGCTGTCATTGCTTAAACATACTTAGAACACTATATATATTTGTTAATTTATAAATATTGATTAATATGTGAATAGTTTAAATAATATATTTAAACTCACATCATGATTATAATGTAGAAATATTGCCCACTCATGATGCAATATTTTTAATCAACCTCTTCCTAGGTGCCTTTGACCCCAGGGTCTCCTCGATCTTTACTAGAGCCAGTCTCCAGAGCACATCCTCTGCCTGTCCATTCAGGTTGCCTGAGATTCAGCACTTTTGAATGCAGGTATGATGTACCCCAAGTACAATAATCATTTTTGTATTTATGATATCATAAGATAACCACTTATCTTTAAAATACATAGTACTATAGATTTTTAACATGATCTTTCATAGTTCATTTACTGGGGCCTCCAATGCTTAACAATTGAGGTGTCAGATTCCCCAGGAATAATTGGCCAATGTGTGTTAGATTTCTTTGTCCCCAGCTTTCCTGTATCGCCAAGAATCTTCCATAAAATCCTACTTTAGCATTGCTGTAGATGGCTTAAGATTAGTGAATCTTTAATTTTGTTGTTCAAAATAAATTAAGTAGTGCCCTGTATTCCATAAAGATTCTAATATACTCCAGGGATAATGTGAGGGGGTGGGGGAGGCATGATCCTGTTTGATAATTACAATAAAGGTTAGAGGGTATTAAAGGTCCTCTCCCTTCGCCTTGCCACTCTCCTGACAAGATAACAAAATATTCTTGATCTTTGTTCAGCTGAGACGATCAGAGTTTTTCCAAAGGAGTCTAACCAAGAACAAAGGTAATCCAAGAACTACAGACGGAGAGTGTAATTGCTGAGACTCCGCCCTCTGCCCCCCACCCGACTCCAAGCAGAACTCAGCGTCGTTCCTTTCTGCACCAGTCAGAACTGGAGGCATTTCTGCTCTCATTCAGGTATCTGTAGTCAGCTGGTGGGTCAGGTAGGAGCTCTGCCTCTCGTTGGCTGGCTCTTCACTGGATTTACTAGGGCAACTGGGACATGTCTATCATCATCCAACAGGCTAACCTGGGTTTGTTCACATGGCAGCGCCACAGGGTGACAAGAAAGACAGCAGACTAAAGCTTTCAAGACTAGCTCAGTGTTGCTCCTGCATTCTGTTAACCTAAACAGATCTCAAGGCCAGCCAAGATTCGTGTGTCATGGAAAAATCCACTCTGAAATTTAATAGAAGAAGATGCAAACTTACATTTCAAGGGATATGGATGTAGAGAGAGGAATAAATGCAATCATTTAAAAATGTATAATACTACCCAAACCATTAACAGAAGCAATAAGAATATTCTCTCTCTGTCTCTGTCTCTATCTCTGTCTCTCTCTCTGTATATATTTAATACATTTACATATACATGAATGCAATTATATATACATTATGTAAATGCATATCTATATAAATGTAAATATTTGGTTTTTATTGCTATTGGTGTTGACTGTGTTTATATTTATTTCACCTATTATTATAAATTACATGTTTCTTAGCTTTTCACTGTTTTTAAATAAACTTTTAAAAATTTTAGAAGAGTTTTAGATTTGTGAGGATAGTACACAGAATTTCCATATACCGTACAGCCATTTTCTCTTATTACGAACACATAAAATCACTGTGATTACATTTGGTATGATTAATGAACCAATATTAATACCTTATAATTAACTGCAGTCCATATGTTATTCAGAGTTACTTAGTTTTGTTTATTTGCCTTTGCAGGCAGATAAGACTTATTTTATTGAATGATTTATCTATGTAATTGTTCAGGCTACCATGTTCAGACAAGAGAAGGAGAGCTTTATTTCTTTGTTTCTTCCTTCTTGAAGAGTCTTGATTTCTTACTTTTTAGCCTGGAACCACCCTTCCTTGGCCCTTCCTTAGACCTGTGGGCCTCAAGCTGCTCAGCCAGGAGCTTCTTCCAGGCTCTGTTCCCTCTATTTACATTTTGTTGAAGGTTTTCATCATGTATGAGTGTTGGATTCTGTAAAATGCCTTTTCTATATCAGTTAACATGATGAAATGATTTTTCTTCTTTAGCCTCTTGATATGGTGGATACTGATTGATTTTTAAATGTTAACCCAGCTTTAAATCCCTGGAAAAAATCTCACTTGATTATGGGGTATAATTATTTTCAGACATCATTGAATTCAATTTGCTAATATTTTATTGAGAATTTTTGCATCCATATTCATGAGAGAGATTATTCTGAAGATTTTATTTCTTATCATTTCTTTGTATGATTTTGGTAATAGGGTAATAATGGCCTTAAAGAATGATTTGGGAAGCATTCTTTCTCCTTCTGTTTTCTGGGAGAGATTGTAGAACATTGTTATCCTTTTTTCCTTAAATATTTGGTAGAATTAACCACTGAAAGCATCTGAACCTTGCGCTTTATTCTGGGGGGGGGGAGGGGAAGTTATTAATTAATCAATTTCTCTACTAGATATAGGGCTATTCAGGTTATCAATCTCTCCTTGTGTGAGTTTTGATAGTTTGTGTCTTTCAAGGATTTAGTCTATTTCATCCACATTATCAAGAGTCCGGGCATAGAGTTCTGCATAGTATTTCTATATTTTGCTTTTCATGTTTGTGGGATCTTTAGTGATGACCTTCCATTTCTCATATTAATAATTTTTGTCTTTCTTTTTTTTCTTAGTTAGCCTGGCTCTTCTGCTTGATTCTTATTAAAAGAAATCACTTTGTCACAGGTGACATGCAGGTGTAGAGTTGGCTGCTTTGATTGGTGTTAGTCTGGAAAGAGCGCTCTGCTCCCAAGTCAGTTCTTTCTCTTTGGCAAAGATGAAGCCAGTCTGGATTCCTCCCACCTGCGCAGGGAATGTTTCCCCAGGCAGAGGAAGGAGGCGGCCTTGATCCCCCCACCATGTTGCTTCCAGAAGCAGCGGTACACTTTTCACAGGACCTAAGGAAGTCCTAGCTCTTCCCAAGAAGCAAAGAAAAGCAGCCTCCTCTCCCTTCTGTAGTCTCCCTTCAGTCAGGCCTAGCAGAGCAAGAAAAAAAATGATTTTAACTCTCTTTCAGGACTCTCTTTGTTGAGGAAGAGACACTGATAAGCATCTGGGATTGAAGATGAGATCCTGAATAGTGCCTTAGCTGAAGACAAGGGTATTACAATTAATTGAATTTAATTAGTAATTAAACTTTTCTGAATTAGAATTTAACAGGAACTTGAGGGTTGGGGAGAGCAGGAAAGGTTACTTGCAGAGGGCTGGCGAGGGAAGAAAGATGACAAGCCACATGGCTGAGAGGCCGTCAAACGGCTAAGAACAAGGAAGTTGATGTGAGAATCTGAAGTCATCTGCTTGGTCTGGGGTGACTTCTACAGCTCTATGGCTTCCTCGCCCATCCAGGCAAGTCTCCTTCACAGGAACTCCTACAGGTTTTGGTGGGAGCAGCTCTTTTTGTGGGAAACCAAGGAAAGGGCTGAGTTCACCTTTTCCCAGCTTTCTATGTAGGTCACCATGGGGTGAAACCAGGACAGCAAGTTACAGGACAGGATCAGCATCAGAAACTGAACGGATTCGCTGGAGGCGGGAACTCAGATTCAAGGCTCACCACAAACAAGATAGCCTTGCAGATATCTGAGGACGTGATTTGTGTTTTCCATGGGTTTATGAATTGGTACTTGCGCCCACCTTGATGTGTCATAAAGGACAAAGTGGGATTGGTGTCATATATGTAGCACATCCTGTACAAACTCAGCCAGTTTGTCCCAGCATCTTTGGGGTGGCTCTCTGCCCTGAAGCGGTGAGCTCTGGACTGTGCAGGCCTGGAGATGACATCTCCCCTGACGTCTCTCCCAGAGCAGTTTCAGGACCAGCATGTGGGAATCTTCAGCAATCCTTCCCTCCTTTGTCCCGTGTCTACAGTCTTGCTCATGGCCCTCTGGGGTGGAGGCAGCAAGGGGGTGGCCCTTACTGCCATCTGCCCTGGGGGAGCCAGACACCTACCCTCTGCCTTCACGATATACAGAAAGAGTCCCAGAGAAGTTTGACTGCAGGTCCCACAATCAGGGGGAGCCTCTTTCTATTAATCATAGCAGCCTCCCCTGTCCTGGCCTGGACTCCCATGTTCCAGACACCAGCTGGCCAAGCGATGCCTTGTGGGACTTCTTCAGGGCATTCACCTCTCTCCCCTACCAGGAGCAGCATTATCTGGCCTCTCTCTATCACACAGATGTCTGCTTCCAACCAGGGTCTGCTTTCTCCAGACATTCTTACAGGTTTATAGAAGGTACTGTGTTGAACATGGAACCTCTTGGCCATAGACCTGGGCTTTGTCTCTCCTCCAGCTTCGTCAGCTGCTTCCTTGGGGAATATTTAATAGAGTAGAAACAGGGCCCCATGGGCCCAGGGCTCTGATGTACCTTGTCTCTCAAAGCCAAACAGCTGATGGTTTGCCCTTATGAGGATCCTCCAAGATTTCTGCCATCTGTGTCTTCTGACCTGCCTGCCTCTGCTGATACCCATTACATGTCCTCTTCCTGAGGACGTTCCCAATCCCTTGGCTTTTCCCCTTTTTGGCAAAGTAACTAAAACTAACAACTATTGGCTTGAGCTGTTGCTGGATCTCTGAAAACTTGAAGACATATTGAGAAATATGTTTTTCAAGGCCCACCTAGGTTTTAACTCCTTCTACTGCCAACTTTCTCCCTCCATGACCAGTGGCTGGGGCACGTGTAAAGTCCCCAGAACCTGGTCACATCTTTCTGCCTCTTAGGAAACTCCTCTTACCCACTATCTCTTTCAACTCTGCAGAATTCACTCGGGCTCTCCTACTTTGAATAATACTAGCTAACATTTATCGAGCACATTATATGTGCCAGGCACTGCGCTAAGCACTTTACATTCATTGTCTCATTTAATTCTTACAACAATCCTGTCGGGTAGGAACTATTGCTATCCTCTCATTTTACAGAGGAGGGAACTGAAGCACTAAGAGGTTAATTTTCTTGCATGGCCAGAAGGAGAGACTCGTGATTAAAACACAGCTGACTCCAGAGTCTATGCTCTTTATGTCTATGTTATACTGCATCTGACTGACCTTATTGTGTTTGTCAACTATTTCCTTTACCAAAGAAAAGAATGGCCGACTTCTGTCTACCCAGTGAGTAGGTGGTTATATGCAGCTGACTACCCTTAGCCTAGCACATGTAATAGGGCTAAAGTAGTGTTGGTGGGTGGATAGATGGGTGGGTAGGCTGAGGATGAGTGGATAGATGTAGGATGGGTGGATGAATGAGTGGACTACTATATGATCTAGGACCTTTTGTGCATAAAAACATTTGGAACACAAGGACCCCAGATAATCCAGAGCTACATACTCCCCGGTTGTTTTGCTGTTTCTTTTCTCCAAATTCCACAGGCTGTTCTGTTTGCATGAGGAGGGCTTTCTCCAGGAACCTGAGCCCACAGAACAAACAAGATTAGCTGAGTTCCTGCCAGCAGTTATTTCCACCTACATTTATTTTCTTAGATGCTACATGCTAACTTTTAAATTCAAAACAGATTTGCTCAGGGAGGCTTGGTGTTTAGTATGGCTGGCTGTCCTCTGTTCCTGGTGGGGTCCTGTGGCCCAACCCTGATTCAGGAGCATCAGGCTTTGGGATTTGTTGTTTATATCTAGAAGTCGGAGGCACTCCTGTTGTGCAGAAACAAGATCTACATCTCCCAACAGCTGCTGCAAAACAGGCTGAGACTGGACACAGCCTGCCTTTTAAACCCAGAACAATTTCAGGGAGAAGGTGAGCTTACAGGATGGCCACAGACTTACCCATCAGGCCCTCTTCCTCCTTCACTCCAAGGTTCCTGCCCAGTATCACTCCAACCCTATATGACTCCCAGACCTCTCTTATTCCTTTGGTTTCAGATGCTTATCTCACTCTCCCGAAGGTATTAGTGACTTACTACTTTCTTTTCCCATTAGAAAGACGTTCCTGGGTCAAAGCAATGTTAAACTCAAAAGCAGAGTTATTCAAATCATACCAAGCCAGTGATCCCCACTGGGCCTGTTGTTCAGGCTAGCCTAAGCATTTGTGATGTTAGTTTTGAGGAGTCTTTTATGAATATTATAAAATCAAATGGATGTGGGACCAACTTAAGGTCAAGTTCTCTTCTCATTGACTCTGATATCTCTAGAGAGGCTCTTCAGTGCTATGAGCATTTGGGGCACAAATATGCCAGTTGCTCTCACCAACCCCAGGACCCTCAGGCCGTGTCTCACTGCTGTGTATCTAACTACCACAGTGGTGGCCTGCCGTGCCCCTTCCATGGGGTCTATCTGCTCCTTCAGAGTGACCAAGAGGCCCTCTCCATGAGGCCTGGGCTGCACTGTGCCTCTGGCAGGACCCCGCCTTTATTTTCAGGTACTTGTAGTACAGGAATGTAGAGTTACCTCCTCAGGAAAATTTCCAAGATGTTGGCTAATGCATAGATTTTGTCATGGGCATTAAAAAAAAGGCAAGGGAAAATTTTACTTGGCTGCTTTGGTCTCTCCCTAAGCTTTTCAATAAACCCTACATGCCCAGCTCTTATCTTTTTGTCCAATTGTGAGATAAGATTGCAGGTAAACTCAGTGAAATTTCTGCATGAAAAGTTATATCTATCCAAAACCAAGTCTCTAGCACTCTAAATCCTTTTTGCTCCTAAAGTAACAATGAGAAATTTAGTTGTCATATCCAATCAGCTTATTTCATGTGAAAAATTAAGTCTCTGCATCCCACAAACTATGAAAAAACCTGCCCGTTACAGGCATGTCACAGTCCCCGGTTATCTGTGCTGAGGCCCCAAGCTTCTTTTAATGCAGATGATGGGAAAATGATTAGGGAGGGAAAGTGTGCTGCTGGCCGGAAGAAGCTGGTCTGATGCCTTTGCGAAGACGAAGATGGGAGAGAGCCATCCTGCCTTCCAGGTGCTGCAGCGTCGGTTGGGCACATGGCTTAGCAAGCAGAGTGCAGACTGATTTCAGCCCCTGCTTGGCCCCCTGGTGGGTGATGTGAGGCAGCCCCAGGCACTGACCACAAAGCCTTGCTGAGAGGGTCTTCATGCTGCTCTGAGGTTACTGGTGTCTTAGCTCTCAGAATGCCTGCTTCAGATTTGCCTACCACAGACCTGAGGGCAGCAGTGATGTGGTGATGGAACAAAGAGGGCGGCTAGAGGCCGCAGGCTGGCCGACTGCTGCATCCCCCTGTTTATTCAGAGGCATTCCCTGGGTCCACTCAGCAAAAAGAGCATTGAATCTCAACCCATGCAAACTGCACGTTTCTCTGAAATCATTCATTCAAAACAGCTCTTAGATATGTAAAGGATAATTAATAGAAACTCAAAAAGCTACACGCATCCTTGAGAGGCCATCTGGTCATTCCCCAGCCTTTAGGCAAAACCGCCTCTCAATAGGTATCCTAGCACTCCTGGCAGCAGATGGGAAGGTTACTGGTTTCAGCCTCCCTCAGAGAAAGTTCTGGATGGACTCTGAAGGCTTTCTGAATGCGTTTATATTTATTTGTAATTATACTATGCAACAGAAGGAGAATTCTCTGCAATGTGAGAGAGTGGCCCTCTACCGTCCCTCACTATCCTGCTCCTCCTTCTCTGTGGTCTGCTCTGGGAGACCACGCCGAGGAAGCGAGAGCAAGGGGGGGTTTGAAGCATCTGAGAGGGAATAAAGGCAGCGGGGCTGGGCTGAGTAGAGGCTGGACTGCAGAGCAGTTGTCACACTGGCCGCCATGGCCTCAGCTTCGCAGCAGAAAGTGCTTTCATCTCCCAGAGTCAAGGGCTCCATCTCAGGACAGGCCTGTGATTGGTGCAGGCTGAGATTGGTGCTATGCCTACTCCTTGGCCTGGTCACTGAGGCTAGGGGATGGTTGATTCTGATTGGCTAGTCCTTAGTTACGTGGCCACCAATACCAGGGCGATGGGAAAACCTACTAGACAGACAAAACCAAAAGCTACCACACACACTTCTAAAGCTACCTACCTCTCAAAATTACTGCAAAGATAAGTGAAAATATGCATAACTGCCTAAGAGAGTGTCTAATAGCAGACACTCAGTAAATGGTAGTTATTGTTTCCTCCACCGGCATCACCAGAACCAACACAAACAACCTTTCTACTAAAGCCTTGAGGCAAAGAAGTGCTGATAAAGTCAACATTGGCTCAAACTTGAATAATACTAGCTAACATTTATTGAACTGAGCCTGAACTTTTCTGAAGAACTGAGAATGTTTAGCCAACATTTTCCTCCAGGGAGTCTAATCTTTGTTCATCCTTATACTTTCTGGCCAGAATGGCTGTGGATCACCAGAATAATCATAAGGATGCTTATTTCCCTGACAGCTTCAATGTCTGAAGAAAGACAGTCATCAGTGTTTTTCTGACCTTTTCCTAGAGCCAGAGCATTTGGATGAAGTGGGGAAAATTCCTGCCTCTGAATTGAGTATCAGCTTCTTGCAGGGTCTTATTCCTTATATGTCCTTCTCCACCCCTCAAAACCATAAGCCTACAAATTCATGTGAAGAATTAAGGACACAGTGCTCTTGACCCCAGACAGCATGCCACCACCCCTACTACCCTTCCTCCATGCTCACTATGGCCAACTGGATGTCCAGACCCCCAAATCTCAGAAACCCCGCCCTGTACATTCTTAACATGCTGTTCCCCTGTGGAGAACATGCACTTCCCATTTCCCACCTGCAAAACTTACCCCTCAAAATCCTTTCCGTTTTTCAACACCCACCTCAATGCTATCTCCTGCAGGAAGCCTTTCCTACCTCTTCAACCAGCTATGGTCTTGACTACCTTTTAATCTCCTTATGGAATATATGCTGGAATAAATATATACATGTATACATATCTATATAACCCAGCTTTATGCTGTGTTAACTTGAATGATAAGCTTCATAATTCAGTTAAAGGGCATCTATCAAGAACCTGGCATCTGCACTATGCCAGGCACAGGAGACAGAAATGCATGAGGTAAAATAAACCCAGACAAGATGGGGCTGGAAGCAGCCCAGGTACTACATATTTCTGTTGATGAATTTCCAGGATTTTAAAATTTATTTGCTCTTCTTAGTTCATGCTTCAGATAACTGTTGTCACTGCCAGCTCAGAGCTTTGGTGCCCTCAACTACAAAATAAAAGCTTTGGGCTACACAGTCACTGCAGAGCCTTCTCACTCAGCAATGAGGCTCTCTTATATTCTATAATCGCCTCATCTGCATTTCCAGTGGTCACTTCGCTCCTCTTATTATCATCCAGTCATCCAGTGATCCTCTGAACTTCAGAGAATTTGGGGATTAGTATGTAGTTAGCACACCTGTGTTTGTTGAGCAGGGTCAGAATGGTGGCCAAGCTGGTGACAAGCCACATCTCTTTCTAGATCTCAGTCTCCTCATCTATAAAATGGGATGGTTAGTGTAGAGGCCACTGAGGTCCCTGTTCCAACTCTGATGTTCCATGATTCATAACCATTCTCTCTTGTTCCCCTGAGGAACACATCATGTTCTACAAAGACACAGCTGCCAAGCCACCTGCAGCAGGAAACAAATACTGAGCCACTCCCAGCTCACCCGGGGAGATGAGCTGAACACTGGAGAAGAGGCTGGGACTGAGTCCAGAAGGCTTGGATTTTAGTCTCTGGCCTCCACTGTTACATAATTTCAATTGTGGGAACCAGCTGAACAAATTTGACCTCTGGAGAGGAAAGGGCACTAGCCAACACTGCTTAATCAAGCACCCTCTTTGCATTACCTCCCGGCTTCCCCTTCCTTGTTTGCTTTCTCCCGTCCCGGCCACATCCTGCGTGTGGAATGAGCGCTGTCTGTGATACCATGTTGATACTTCACCATGCTCAGCATGCTTATTGGCCAGGTACTCATCACTCAAACTACTTGATATAAGGTGAAAAATTCAGTCAGTTAATTCAAACTTTTCCAAGTAGGAAAGAAGATTTTTCTAACTGACTTCCTCTTGGCCCACTCATGAACCCTGCTTTCCTTCTTCCTGTTACAGAGGCTGGTTGATAGCCTGACACCAGGAGGCTGCACTTGGTTCCCCGCAGCTGACCTCCGGGCTCACCAGGGGCCACCTACACCTGCTTGGCCCCCAGCCCGGTGGTAGTGGTTGTCCTTGTAACTGTGGTGATATAATTTACTTGAATATTAATGTTAATTAAGTAGGAGAGCAAAGAAGAGAGTTGTTGGTTATGTGAAAACCAAATTAAATGCTTGGTATGGTATCAACAAATATTTGCAGTCAATTTTGGTGTATGGAATAAAGTTTGGTGTTTGGTGAAAAACAATAAAAGTATAGGAAGATTTTGCATTCAGATTGCTCTGTAGGGTCTATGTCTCTTTGTTCTACTTTGAAGGAGCCATAATTAAAAATTGTAGTTGAGACATTACAGCTGTAGTCTCAATGCCAATTACAATTACAAATGCCAATTAAAAAAAACCCATACTCAAAAGGAAAAAAGGCCTTAGCCCAATATCAAAACATTGGCTAGCACTGTAGGTTTTAAATTAAAATACAATATATATTTATATGTTTGAGTCAGTTCTGTTATTTTTCAAATATTAGACCTAAGAAGATCTGAACTGAACATCGATGAACAGCATTCTACTGTCTGGGACCCAAAAATTTTTCAGAGTTTTTCAGTTAATAGTTTACATTAAAATCTTAGGATGTCTCCTCAGTTTTGATGATGATGATGAAAATTTTCAAGCAGCTATAAAAGTAGAGAGAAAAGTAGAGCAAACCTTCATACCCCATTATCCAAATTTTGCCATCCATGCCTCATCTATTTATTTCATTTCCTTTCTGATGTATTTTAAAGCAAGTTTTAGACATCGTGCCATTGTGTCCTTACTTTAGTAGATATCTCCAAAAAATATGGAGACTTTCTTATCTAACCACAACACCGTTATCATGCCTTACATAATGAGCAGTGATTCTTTTCATGTCGTCTGATACTTTGCCCAAACTCAGTTTTCTCAGAATGCCTCCAAAATGTCTTGTTAGTGTCAGTTTGTTCACATATGACATGAAAATAATGTACACATCACCTTTAGTTATATCTTTTATGTATTTTCAAATTTAGAACAATACTCCCTCACTTTTTTCTTTCTATTAACTTGTTGAAGAATCCTGCTTTTATAAAGAGATGTGAGAAGTTCAAAGAAGAACAACTGACCAGGGTTTAGTGGTGAGGGATCTCAGAAACTGCCAGAACAAGCCCCAAACTTTTCAAGGTGACATGAAGCTCATGGTCATCATGGCCCAGAGAAAAGTTTCCTCTCCTCTTGTACTGAACAGAGAGCTGAAGACAGGGTTGAAAAATGACAGGTTTAACTAGGTTTACTCAAAAACAAAGGCACAGTCATTAAGGAAATGCAGATCAAAAGCACAGTTGGGGACCAGTTCACACCCACTAGAATGGCTGTATCAGAAAAAGAGGATAAAAACCATGGCTGTTGAGAATGTGGAAACTGGAACCCTCATACATTGCTGGTAGGAATGCAAAATGGTGAATTGAAATGGTGCATTGGAAAACAGCCTGGCAGTTCCTCAGAAGACTAAACATGGAATTTATCACAGGACCTAGCAATTCCACTCCTAGGTATATACTTCCAAAGAACTGAAAATATGTTCACACAAAAACTCGTATACCAATGTTCATAGCAGATTATTCATAAAAGCACAAAAGAGAAACAGCCCAAATGTCCATGATGAATGGCTGAATTCACTAATTTAGTACGTCCACACAATGAAATATTATTCAACATAAAAAGGAATGAAGTACTGATATGTGCTACAACATGAGTGAACCTTAAAAACATTAATTATGAGACAGAAGCCAGTCAGAAAAGATACACATGGGGGGTATGGTTCCATTTATATGAAATGTTGGAAACCAACAAATCTGAGAGACATACAGCAGACCATTGGTTCCCCAGGGCTGGGGGAGGGGATGGTTGGAGGGGGTGCTGGCTAAGGGGTGGAGGATTTCTGTTTGGAGTGATGGAGTGTTTGGCACTAGTGATAACAGTTGCACAATCCTATGAATATACAAATGCCATTTAATTGTGCACTTAAAGGGTGAATTGTGTGGTATATATGAATTATATTCCCACAATGCTGTTAAAACATACACACATACAGAGGTTCAGGGGTCCGTTATTAGCCGGCTTCAGCAGGCAGAAGGCCCCTGCCCAGGAGGGGTCCTCCTCCACAGAGAACAGGATGCAACCTGCTTTACTGCTTTGGAAAATGGAACTCAGCACCCGTGCACAGCTACCAAGGGAGAGTACATGGTCTCCCCTACTGGCCCCTACAATTTTCTGGAGTGGGTTGGTCCTGGGTTATGAACTAGATGACCTCTTAACCCTGCTTTCAGTAATACCATATAGGAGGAAACTGAAAAAAAACATAAAGGAAAATTCATTTTCATTTTCGCCCACCTGATTTCCCTTTGGACAGACCACGTTTCCCCTCAGGCCTGCGCTCACCCTGTTTCCTATCTGCCTTTGTGGAAGTCCAGATGCTACACGCTCAGAGGAGCATAGAGTGAGGGAGGAATGGTCAGCAATGCAGCCTCCCTGCTCGCTGAGAAAGTTGGAAATACCCAGACAGGAGGACAAAAGCAGGCTTTTCTAGGCAATCAGTTGAAGATAAGATCCCATTTCCATATGGTTTCAGGACGACGCTCTGCGTGACTGGTGGGGTCTTGAGCAACACCCAGCACGAGGTTCCAGCCGAGCAACAGTGGGATGTTGGTGCTGAAGATTCCTTGCCTGATTTTGAAATCTTCTTCAGGCTGTTCAAACTGCTGCTCTTGTCAGAAATGGGCATCTGCCTGGCCTACGTCTCTCATTATCCTTCCGGCCAGTGGATGTGGTGCCCATTTGGCAAAGGCCCAGGCCTCAGGAGGAGCTCGTGGGCACACTGCAACTGCAGAGCAACGGGTCTGCTGTTAATAGGGAAGGCTCCATCTATGGAGGGCAGCCATGGGTGGGTCATATTCCCATGCAGCCTAGAGGATTGTCCAGGGGCAACAGGGGACCTTGTAAGTCCCCCACCACCACCCTGCTCTCTCTTTGCTTCCAATTCTTAGTCCCACTCAGAGAAAATGCAGCCAAAGGTCAAGTCCTTCCTAATGCTCCCAGGGAATAGGTAAATAAACAGGAGACAAGCATCAGTAAGAGAGTGCAGTTTACACAGCACATGTTCCCTGGGAGAGGAATCCAGAGAAAACATTAAATGGTTGTCTGGAGGCCCCACCCAAGATGCTGAAGAAGTGCTCCCTTTAACCCTGGAGAAGCTGACACGCTGTCCCCTTGTTCGTGTCCAGTCCTGGGACCCCAAGAGCTGTCCTCCATGTCTAGCACCCAGGAGTTGCTGTCTCTGTGAGCTTCTCCTCCATCCCCTCTTACCTCACCTCTTCCTTCCCACCCAGCACCCAGGCCCTGCAGTCAGGCAGGTGGGAGTTAGAATCCTTGCTGGGTGACTGTAGGTGGGTCTCTTGACCCCTGTACTTTCCCCACTGTCCTGCCTGCCCAGGAGTGCTACAGTGCTCGCCCTGGGGAGCTGTGGCGAGGGTAAATGAGAAAATGATGCCCCCACACCAGAGTGAGGGCAGGAAATTTTCTTTTTTTTAAATTCTCTTTTCTCTCTCCTCCTTTTTTCTTGTCATAATCTTTCCTTCCTTCCCATGAAGTTAAAATTTTCCAGGCTCAAACCTTCACCTTAGCTTCAGGTATAAGCTGGGTGCACCCCATTCACACTGGTTTGTGGGGTGCTGTGCATCACATTCCTGAAGCCCAGTGAGGGATCTGATCTGTGCCCGTTCCCAGTTCTGCTGATCTCCCGAGGGCCCTGCACTGCTCTCTGGGGCCCTGCCTCATACACAGGAAAGGGGTCCTGGCAAGGCTGAGCACAGCATCACTGCCAGTCTCACATTATGACTCACTTTTGTGTTAGATGACATTCAGCACGTCAGATGTGGAAGCAAGGGGATCCTTTAGCTGCTGCCTTTCAAGGGCCTGAGGCGTGTCCCCCAGAGCAGGCAGGTTCCTGAGGGGAGCACAGCTGTAATTTGCTTTCCTTTTGACTATTCAGGCTCTTGGTGCAACGACACTGAGCTAATGTTTTGTGATCGCTATCTGTACCCACTCTGGTCCCTCAGACGCACACAGGAAAGCATGAAGGCATTGGGGGTAGGAGGTCCTTTGACAATTCTAGAACTCCATAAATTAAAGTCCAACCCCTTACAACAAAAGTTTATTGACATGTATATCTCCCATATACATGGGAAATACCCAGGGAAAAATGAGTAACTCTCAAAGAGGAGGTTTAGAATTCAGGCTTAAATACCATCTTTAGCCAAATCAAAGAGAAGGGCGTGGGAAAGCAAGTCATGGGGGTGACCAGGGGAAGTATGGCAAACAGAGGGAAGTCTGTCATGAAGATTTAAGTGGGTGCCTTCTCCACAGATCAGTCTCTAGTGACCTTACCATGCTTCTCTTTTAGGTGCAGAGAAGGAGACACCCTTACCAAAGAGCATCTACTACTGTGTTTTCAGAGCTTCTCCTGTGTCTTCCCCTTCTCAAAATAATTATCTCAAAATAATCCTTATGCCAAGGAAGCATATTTTGGGGTGGGGTATTCTGGTCTCTTACAGTAGATAGATAGAGCTCTTATAAGGAATTGGCTCATCAGACTGTGGAGGCTGACAAGTCCTGAGATCTGGATGAGCCGGCGAACTGGAGACCCAGTGGTGTCGTTCCAGTCTGACGGTTGGCAGGCCCAAGACCTAGGAAAAGCTGGCGTTTCAGTCCAAGTCTGAAGGCAGGAAGAAAGCCTGTGTCCCTGTTGGACGGCTATGGCCCGGAGGGAGCTAGGGGGATAAAGAGCTGCCCTTACTCCCCTCCAGCCTCCGGTCCCCTGTGGGGCAGAGGCCAGAGGACAAAGGAGCCTGCGATGCAAATCTTCAGCCTCTCTGGGCAGCAAGCATGGTGGAAAGGGAGGACAATCAGTCTGAAGGGGCAAATGAATATCTAGTGCACTAGTTCTTGATTTAAAAATAATGTTACAGTCCTTAAATTAATGTCCAAATCACAGCAACTCTGAGCCTCTACTGCCTCCAAATTCATCTTTTCTCTTCAACCCC